GAAACCTGTCCGCTGTCCAGTCCAGTCCAAACCAGTCCAAACCAAACCACGCCCGTCCAACCGACGGTCGTGCACGACCGCGTGCGCGAGGGCAATAAATGCTAACGCATCTAAAACTAAGTCTGTGGCATTGAACATGACGTGCTGTGCTCAGTACCAAAACGCGGAATGTCTTTCTTTTTTTTCTTGGCTTTAGTTTTGTTATTTGCCGAGCAGTTTCAGCAGTTTGCAGGGACTGGCTTTCTCGAGTGCTTTGCGGGAAAGTAGACGTCCTGAAGAAGCCACAAGCGTGCCCACCCTCCTTGCTTTGAAACGTGCCGCGCGAGCGATTCTTCCGCGATGCTTTGAAGCGTGTGATTAATTCAGACAAGTGATTAATCAGAGAGCTGAAAACATTACTTGATTCATTCACGCTGTTCAATGAGACGCACGCTAAAATTAGATCGCCCTGGTACATAACGTGTGACAGAGCGATCAGTATCTGGAGCTCACGGTGTGCAAGCCAATCCCCGGTCGCCGTAGTTCTGACGTCACGAGGTGTAGGCCGATCCCCCTTCGCAATATTCCTGACGTCACGAGGTGCCAACCTATCCCGTTTCTCCAACCATATGCATGAGCCAATTCCTTCATTGGCATCTTCATGACGTTGATGGATGCGTGCTCATCCCGCTTCGCCAGCCTCCAACTTGTTGACGTCACGTCGTGCGAGCCAATCACATTCAACCAACCTACTGAATCACTGGAAGTAAACCGGTACCGTTTCGCCAGTCCCTGACGCCACGAGACGCGAGCCAATCACATTTCTTCAACCTGCTGACGTCACGCCGCGCGAGCCAATCGCGTTTGGCCAACCTCCTGACGTCACGAGGTGTAGGCCAGTTCAGTCCGGCACGTCGGTAAGTGCTCTCAGCCAGCAAGAAAGTAAAGAAAACGAGTAAGTGGTCGCCCGTTTGTTCGCATCTGACGGGCACCCGCGTCGTTGTCGAGAAGAGTGCTAGGCCCCGCGAAGCCCTTCGTGCTCCGGCGGGAGGTTGCGAAAGACTATAAATATCGGAGATGGTTTATTTTCACGTGCTCTTATAGGTTCCGCCCCTCGCCGTGCCATTCCGGGCTGGCTGTGTGTTTTGGGAGCCGGAAATAGGCGTTATCTACGGGAGAGAGAGCATCCGCGCTTGTTTTCTCGGCCCCCTTTTCTTTTTCTCTTGCCGTCAGCATTTGATTTTGTTATTTTTACTCTTTGGTAACGGGTAATGATTGTGCCACGTGGAGACTCTAAAACGACCTGCGCAGTTAAGCCGGCACTGATCATGCGTCGTACAAACGACGCGGTGTTTGGAGCAGGCATGATGACACAATTATACGGGGAGACGCCTCGGGCATCTTAGAAGGTTTCGAACATCTTTTAAACATGGCTGCAGACAGTTCTTTGTATTACCATATCCCCTTCTACACTCACAAAACCTGGCAGTTCGACGGCAGAGCCACAGAGTACCCGGTCGCAAATTTGGAGCGCGAGGATCTGGTATAGCACAGAGCATCAAAGAGCCATTTCTCGGGGAACCTGGACGTCAGCGCTCAGCTTTTGCAGCGGCGAGGACCCGAAACACACTTGTTCGCTCGGGAGGAGTGTTTCGGCGTGTCGCCACAGCGGGGCGCCAGTCACGTGGCTCTCCTCTCATCCGTTGTCCGCCGCTCCAACTTTTCCATTTCGGCGGCCGCTTCTCGTGGCGATCTGCCAGGCTTTGTCAGTATATAGGAGGCTATGGTAATGACCAATGGGAACAGGCTGAACATATTGGAACAAGTCCTGTTCAGGACTCGCTCCAACGTGATGGGGGTCTCACCGAAAGACCGCATCGTTGGAGGCACGGGTCGGTGCGGTGGTCTGTGATCTCTGGCGGGGTGAGGCGGCGGGGAGATCCTTCCGCTGTTCAGCCTCCGGCGAGAGCTTCGCACACCTTCCACTTCTGTGGAGGCCATCGAGCGCGTATTGGAGGTCTGGCATCGACTCCCTGCCGCTCCCACCCTGTCGAAAACCGTAGTTTTGACGAGGTTGCGAAAGTGTGTCGAGAAAGGCTGATCGTAAACTTCGCGGTTTCATTCGAGACGACTTGTGTACGCGTCGTGCGAAGAATTAACACAAGATCAATTTCAAAAGCTTTTTTTTTTTCTTTTTTTTTTTTTTAAGCGAAGATTCGAATTCAGCATATTTGCGTGTCGCGTGACCATCTTTGTTGGTAGGAGCGTGCTGAAAACGAGGCATATTGAAGAGGCTTACGAATGTAGGTCTGTTGCCCATCCCCAAGTTTCTCAAACCTTTCTAATATTTCCCGGAAAAAAAAAATTATATACGGCAGTATTACAATATAAATTCATTAAAAAAATAGAAAAAGAAAATACAGATTAACGTTTATTTCGTAATTTATTCTAAGGACCCTTTTTTCCCCCTTTTTTCTGTTTTACATTGGGTTTAACAGAATACTTGGTGAATTTTGAATTTGGGCCCACTATTTTGACGAAGAGTACTATTTCCGAGGATTGTAATGAAAAATAAAGACCGATGTACATGCTAAAATCAAGATTTCATTGTTTTCATAAATATTGTTTTTTCCTCAGAAAATGTTTGCATTGACCGTGGTGTTACCGCCCCTTCCCCTTCACCCTCCCCCGTAAAGTCGGCACTTCCGTGCACACCGCCGCACTGAGGCGAAGTAACCTTTACAGAGCTCACGATTATATAGGATCGATAGCACGAGTCGTGTCGTAACACCTTTACCGTTCGGACGCCACGCGGAGAGCGCGCAATAAAGCTCTGCGGGTAGAAACCGAAGGAAAAAAGGAAACGTGAGTGCGCGGGAACGCCTGAACGCCGAGCTGTGGCTGGAATGATTAGAGGGTAGACGCATAGCCTCCTATATACTGACAAAACCTGGCAGATCGCCACGAGAAGCGGCCGCCGAAATGAAATAGGTGGAGCGGCAGACGATGGATGAGAGGAGAGCCACGTGACTGGCGCCCCGCTGCGGCGAGACTCCGAAACACACTTCGCCCGAGCGAACAAGTGTGTTTCGGGTCCTCGCCGCTGCAAAAGCTGTGCGCTGACGTCCAGGTTCCCCGAGAAATGCTTCTTTGATGCTCTGTGCTACCAGATCCTCGCGCTCCAAATCTCCGACCGCGGGCACTCTATGACTTCGTCGTCAAACTGCCAGGCTTTGTGAGTATAGAGGAGGCTATGTCCCTACTCATTGTTCAGACAGTGTTTGTATGCCTAGTGTGACCATAAGGAAGGAACGAGACAATCCCCCAATATTCGGACGCTAAGCGCGACAGTAAGCAGAGTGACACTATTACCGCTCCGCGACCAATAATATTGCGGCTATAAATCCCTCTCCCTCCCCGCAAAAAAAAAAAAAAAAAATGGAATTACAGAGCCGTGAACATAATATAGCCATACCATATGGCTGTGTTCCAAATCTTGTTAATGGATCCGAGTTTCTCCGTCAGATTATGTCACGTGGTAAGACAGGGCATGAACGCGGGTAGGGTTTCGAAAGCCAAGGTACGGAATCTTTACCCTAGAGTGAGATCGAATACATTTTTGGAACACGGCCCGAGTGTTTCTTAAATTAAGCGCCTGCTGCCGCAAAGCCCTGCCTCGGAAAGCGGGCCGGTGATGAGGTGGACTTCTTTCCTTCCGAGCACGCCTGACAGCGCTGCGAACGCGACGCGCTGGCGCGTTGCTATGTCTTTTCTTTTTTAAATGTTTTCCTTTTTTTTTTTACGCGAATAAAAAGAAACGTGCGAAACGTATCGTGTAGGAAACACCTTAATTGTACGTTTCTCAATCCGCTCTACAATTTCCCAATTCACACCTTGGCTCTTAAACAAACAATTAAAAAATAGATAATTAGTCGTAATTAATTAAATAACCAGGCACACTAAAAATATCATGCACTTTCCCAAAACGCTTTCTAACAACATACAGTTAGTTTCACTGTCGCTGAGCGCTGTTTTTTTTGTTGTTTTTTTATAATGTTTGGTGCAAGTTATTTGGGACACCCAATATATATATATATATATATCTTTTTTTTTTTTTTTTTTTGACAAGTGACGTACACATGTCGAGGCGGTCAAGGCGATTTAATAGCGGTTAAGAGTTGAGCATGTCGGTATACATACTTGTAAGTAGATCAACTTGAACTTTAAAGACAGGTGAGGACAAACAGCTGTTTGTCCTCTCCTCTCCTGCTTTTCTTTCCTCGTGTTCAAGTATAATTCTAGAAGTTCAAGCTGATCTATTTACCCGCATGATCTTTTGTGACCAGAGCCAGTAGTAACGGTTTTCGGTTTTAGCTCCACCAGTAAGTAACGATTTCAGGCTTCCAATTGCAGTTCCACCAAAAAGTTACGATTTCAGGTTTCCGGTTTCAGTTAAAAGCTGGCTAGTCTAGCACATGACGACACGACGCAGCGGTTTTGCACCGTGCTTCTTACGTGTTCTGCTTCGGGCACGCCAGAAAAGACCAAACAGTAGTTAGTTTTATTATTATTATTGACTGTGGGAACCGCCTAGAATTGGAACACAGGCAGCTAGTTGAGAGGCCTCGACCAGACAAACGCCCCTTTGAGTCATCCGTCTGTGGCCCATTTGCGTGCGGTCGCTAGTTAGTGTGCTCCCCCAACGACAGCCGAGCGAAAACACTGGCAAGCGCGTGCTTAATCTACTTTGGTCACCAACCAGCGCGCTATTGTCTAATTTCCCGGAGGTTCCTTTATGCGCGACGAGCAACCGGCAAAGCCAGCCGCGCCGCCGGTCTCAAAACACAAAGGGATGCAGCGGCAGAAACGAGAAGCGCAAACGAGAGAAAAAAAGAAAAAAAGAAAAGAAGGCTCGTTGTCACACAACGCGGAAGCCAAACCGCTCCGCCACTTATTGTGAAACCGCGCCGGCACGTGACACCCGCGGCGCGCTGCCATTGGTCGGCGTCTCGGGGTATATAAGGGCGACCGCGGGCCGTCGTCATCTGCGTTGCCAATGTAAGGGGTTTGCGAGGTCCGAGGGGTTGCGTTTTTTTGGGGCTACAGCTGGCAGGCTGTGCTCGCCGGGGGCTCGCTCGGCCCTAGGAGGGCTTGGTTTTCAAGCTGCTTTTTCTGGGATATTTTTTTCCTCCGCCCCAACCCAAAAAGGAGTCATCAGACCCAAATTCGGCCCTGAGGGATATCTGAAATCACCAGGAAAGCCCAAGTTTTCCCGTTATTTGCTTTGATGAGAGAAACATCTCAATTCGGTTTTTCTTCGTGTCGGGTCGTCGCCACCGCGGTTAGGCCTAGCGGCGTCGTCGTCGTCTCTGTCGGCGACCGTCCGCTCGCTCCCGTACCATCGCCGCCGCCTCTAACAACGCCGGACCATGAAACAGGAGGTCTTCCTGGAGTGTGCCATGGCCGTGGGCGACTCCAACGACGAAGCCCTGGGTCGTGGAGTCCTCCACCACCACCGAAGGGCCGCCGCCGACGACTCCGTACCCTCCGACGTACTCCTAGACACGCCACAAGACACTCCGATCGGCACGCCCTGTTCCGGCTTCTTGGCCATGGGTAAGCTACCCACCATCGTGCATTGAAATCTTTTAGTCAACCACGAAAATGCCGCGCAGTTTCTGCGTAAACGGGAGCGGCGGAGCTTTGCAACGCCGCCGCCCGCTCATCTGATTGTATTGATCGACGAGGATGTTTTGGTCCGAGAGACCCCCACGGCTGTTGGCGTCGCCACCCGGTCAAATCGGCTTTTGTTTGTATGTTGCGAAGGTATCATCGTGAGCATGTGTTCGTTAGAAACTGTGCCAGCGTGTTTTTGAACGTTAGTGATGTGTGGCGTAGGCTGTCGCCGTCAGCGTTCCGCAAAGACGCGTCAAACGAAGTCAACGCGAACGCGGCGCAGGGGGGCTGCGTGTTTTTCTTTTTTTTCGTGCCGTCTGGGAGAGGAGGTTTTGCAGACGCGTCGGAGAAGGAGGGGTGCTCGCTCGCCCTCATAGCAACACGGCAACACAGCCGACTGTTTCTTGTTTGTATTTTTTTTTTTGTTCGGCGCGTACGGCGACGAACTATAATCGCAAGCGTAGAGAGATATAAAGGTAAATTAATTTGTGTGCGATGTACTGCACTGGCTAAATTTCTCGTCTACAGCTAAGAGACGAGTCACCAGTTGAGCAATATACAAGCGACACAATTTTGTATATATTAATCCTCTAGGGTCTGCTCTGGTGGAGCAAACCAGAATATAAAAAAAATGCGTATTATTATTGCCTGCGTTATTATTGTTGTTTTGTTGGTGCTTTGCTTTGTCTGCGTCCTGTCAACAGGCCTGTAGATTTCGCTAACAAAAGTTTTAATAAAAAAATATACGCAAGAGTCATACAAAGAGGACGGACACGACAAACATCTTTTAAACTTGGAAAAAAAAAAGGTTTTGAAAGTGGGTTATTTTGTCTGGGAAATCGGTAAAACATGGATATCTTGTTTTGGCTTCGATCGTGAATGTAAAGATTTTGACTGCGAAAGGTTTTACCGAGAAATATTTTTATAAGCGTCCGGATTTTCGATGTTTCGTGTAAAAACTTGCGTTGTTTCTTTTTTTTTTTTAACTTTGGAATTTTAGAGCCTTTTCTGCAGAGCTCCAATTTCCGAACATTTCGTCTGCCAAGCTTTGTAATCTGTAAAATTTCTCTGTCAAGCTTTATAATCTGCAAATCTGCTTAGATAAGTTTTGTAATCTTTAATCTGCAAATCTTCCGTGGCGAGCGTTGTAATCGACAAATTTTCTTTGCTAATCTTTGTAATCTACAAATTTTAATTGCGAAGCTTTGTAATCTACAAATTTTCCCTGCAAAACTTTGTAATGTGAAAATATTTTGTGGCTTTGTAATCTTCCTCTGCCAAGCTTTGTAATCTACAAATTTTCCTTCCCAAGCTTTGAGATCTGCACATCTTCTGTGGAAAGCTTTGTAAAGTAGAAATTTTCTCCGCCAAGCTTTCCAATCTTCAAATCTTCTGTATCATGCTTTGTAATGTACAAATTTTCCCCGCCAAGCAATTTGTACTTTTGGGGCAAGCTTTGCAATCGGCAAATTTTATCTGACAATCTTTATGAATGACCTCCAATTTTTTCTCTGACAAATTTCGTATTCCACAAACCTTCTCTTACCAGCTTTATTATTTAAAACTTTTTTTTTCTCTGGCAAACTTTGTAATCTATGTAATATCTCCTCGGAGCATTTTAACCTAAAAAATTGCTTTGACAAGCCCCGCTGTTTACATATTTTCTCCGCGAAGCTTTGTAAGCTTAAGGTTATTATTTATGCTGCGTTTCCGAATTCTTAGGTTCTGTGTGTAAACCTCCAGATCCTAATTCGATCTAAGCATTTAACTCAGTAAGCTTTTGAATACCGCTGTTTCTATCGGCATCAAAAATATTTAAAGTACTACCATCTCCATAGGTCTGCTGGGAATGTTCACCACGACACACTTACCTGGCGTATTTTTTTTTTCTTCTTTTGTTCAGTTATTACTTGCTGTTTGTTTTTATTTTCTGTCATCTTTCGACGCTCCCTGATGCTGGCCTTTCGTAAGCATTTTCTTATTATTTCTTTTATTTTTTTTTTAATCTAGCGTCTCTGGCGGAATTCGTTTGTTGGCAGGCGCAGCGCTTCCGGCGACTGTGCTCTTTCTTTTTTTCCCCCTTGTGTTTTTATCTTTGTGATTTGTTTCTGTATGCTAACGGTCCTTTTTTCTTTTTGGTTTTCTCTCCGAGTTGTCGGAAGTAAGCGATAATAAAAAATAAAACTTGGCTTCGAGCGAGGTCTCCGACCCCCGCATTTCTTGCGCTGCCTACAAACCGCTGCAATAGAGTCGCGCGTTCGTCGTCTGCTATCCGCGTACCGTCGCCATCTTGGTATGCGGCGCTGCTGGCGTCGGTGTTCGGTATCACGAAGCCATCGCGGCTCGAGTCCTTGGAAGATATACATGTCTAGCACAATTGAAAGCTGGAGATTGAAACCTTAATCGAAATGAGAAATGTCGCGAATTCTGGTCGAAAATCGAGGTTCGACTGCTTCGGCGAACGTTCGAACTTTTATGAAAATTCGACGAAGTTCGGCTTGTAGACAGTGTTGCTCGACATCTGCGCAACAATTTAAAAATTTCGGAAACATATAATTTATAAAACATAGTTATTTTATAAACATTAGTAATCAATGATTACTAATGTTTACACAATAGAAAAGCAAACGTATGTACTTGCAATGCTTTAGTTAGTTCATTAATGTGAAACAATTTTCCCCCAAAAATATTGCACATTTCCTCCGCCAGGTGGCATTAGTTCGTTTTCAATTTTTCGCGCATGCGCACAATAGTTGAACTTTAGTCGAACATCAGTCGAACTTCGGTCGAACCTCGGGTTAGAAGTTCGAAAAAGTCGAACCTAACCGAACTCGAACCTCGGAAAGCCTGATCACGTTACCAGTGTGAATATACATGTACAGGGTGTCACAAAAGAAAATTTACACTGTCTTTTTTACTGCAAAAATAAACTAGCCATCGCCGAACGCTCATTCTCCGCCCAAAGGTAGAGCTAGAGGTCACAACCAGATGCCGAAGTTTCAGCCCGATCCGATAACTTAATCAAAAGTTATGAGTGATTTTCTGAAAATTTCAATGGGAAAATGGCCGCCGACGGAGTTTTCAAACACATGGGGCTCTATGGCACCAGAAACCGAAAACGGGGAAAAATGGGCTCCATTTTCCCATTGAAATTTTCAGAAAATCACTTATAACTTTTGATTAAGTAATCGGATCGGGCTGAAACTTTGGCATCTGGTTGTGACCTCTAGCTCTACCTTTGGGGGGAGAATCAGCGTTCGGCGATGGCTACTTTATTTTTGCAGTAAAAAAAGACAGTGTAAATTTTCTTTTGTGACATCCTGTACTATATACTCGCGTTTGCCCAGACCCGGTGTGAGCAAACACGAGCTTGTTCGTACGCAGCGCGTTGGCCTATATTTATTGCACACTGTGTGCCTACAATGCTGAGTTGTAAAGAAAATCGCAGTATACGATCTCGTTAGTTTTAAATCGCATGTTTTCCGATTTTCAGGTCCTCTCTGTACAAACTGGGCTAGAAAGACGCTACTGGAGTTAGCAGAGCAGGCGAGGGACCTGTTTCTTTCAATTGAAAATTAGTTCATATATTGTTGTGATGAAACAAAGTAAATGAAGTTATCTAATAATTCATCTAATAATTTGAAGTCGATTAGCTAGTACTACACTATCCAGAACGCAGCTGCTCCAACCCGGCTGACTAAACTGGCGTGGAAACGGCCTCGGCAGTTTATGATGATTTGTTTTTTCTCCCCAAGCAATGAGAAGGAATAAACTTGCAGGAGTTCGTATTTTAGTTAGCGAGTATTTGTTAACATAGTTTGAACAACGGCTTTCATTTTTCGTTTGCGCGCTGCGACCGGTTGCGTTGATCACGGCACACCGTGAAAAAACAAAATAAAACAAAAACAAAACTAGGACCTTGCGAATTTCCGGAAGCCCTGAAACGAACCTTCAGTGACGTTCCTTTTGTTTTTAATTGTTTTTTTTTTTCTCTCTCTCTCTCCGCGCTGAGGACAGATGCATACGGCTGAGTGCGAGGGTGTTTCAAGCAGCAGCAGGCTCTTTTGATGAAGGCTATCTTTTTCTGTATTATCGCCTTCCCTGATCCTCCGTTTTAGTGTGGGTGCTTGCTTTGTGCGGCCCTGAGAGAGAAAGAGCGTTCCGACCGAAAGTGTTTTTGGCAAGCGACGCCCCTATACCACCGGCAGGCACTCTGTGTGCGTTGTCTTGTCTTCGATGCTGTTTTAAATAAGTGGCCTTTAAAGCTTTCCCGAGGACTTTTCGCCGTCGACGTGCCAACGGGGAAGTCTCCCCGCCTTTATCCCCCCCACTGTCGCGACCGTTTGTTGCGGGTCCCGCCCAACAGATGGCGCTGTGGAACGAATTAATTAAGATGATTTTTTTGTTTTGTTCTCCGCGTGTGGTGTTAGTGGCGCGTTTGTTTCTGTTTGTCGTGTCTGTCTGAGGGACGCTGACTCCTCGAGGACGCGAGCGATGACGGAAGCGGAAGATACATCATACTACGCCCCAGCTGGATTTGAGTTGGCGTGGGGGGGTTTTGGCGGCTTTGAAGTATAGACTCGGTCGTTGGCGAAACGAATGGCATTTCCGGTCGAAAGAGAAAGTCGACTTGAAAACAACGGAGGAGGAAACCTCAGCCGTTTCGCCGCGTGCTCAGGATCACGGTAATAATAAGTTGCAAAACTCAACCAATAATTTTCTTCTTTTTCTTTTTTTCTTTTGGGCTGGTGTCAGTTTTCATCTATTATTTTTTTTTTGGTCAATCAGGATTGCCTTTGCTTCTACGTTAGCCCTACTAAAAAACAAAAATTGCATTTATACGACTCATATTTCATACTACTCTACGAAACGCCCATATAAAGCAAAAGCTGAAAATTATTTAGTGTAATCAGCTGACTTGACCATTTTAAGTGGTTAGA